GCTGTGTGACTCTGGGCAAGTCACTTAACCCCAATTGCCTCATGAAAGAAAAGGAAAGAAAGGAAGGAAGGAAGAAAGAAAGGAAGAAAGAAAGAGAGAAAGAAAGAAGAAAAGAAAGAAAGAGAAAGAAAGAAAGAAAAGAAAGAAAGAAAGAAAGAAAGAAAGAAAGAAAGAAAGAAAGAAAGAAAGAAAGAAAGAAAGAAAGAAAGAAAGAAAGAAAGAAAGAAAAAGAAAGGAAGGAAGGAAGGAAGAAAGGAAGGAAGAAAGAGAGAAAGAAAGAAGAAAAGAAAGAAAGAAAGAAAGAAAAAGAAAGAAAGAGAAAGAAAGAAAGAAAGAAAGAAAGAAAGAAAGAAAGAAAGAAAGAAAGAAAGAAAGAAAGAAAGAAAGAAAGAAAAGGAAAGGAAGAAAGGAAAGAGAGAGAAAGAAAAGAAAGAAAGAAAGAAAGAGAAAGAAAGAAAGAAAGAAAGAAAGAAAGAAAGAAAGAAAGAAGAAAGAAAGAAAGAAAGAAAAGGAAAGGAAACAAAGTGTAGAATTAGAAAATGCCACATGGCTACTTGTCTACCTCCCATTCCCACTGGTGGGCTAATTCTCAGAGGGTAGTTAAGTACTTCTCCATTTAGGGGTCAGGGGGCAATCCTGCAGGATTGGGGATTCTAATGTTATCATTTAAGAGCCCCATACCAATACCAATCAACCTGTTGACATCAGTTAGCTTTTACAAAAGGAACATTGAACATACTCTGTACAACAAAAAGGACAAAGCTGAGCATGCTCCAAGGATGGTCCCTTCATTGGCCTGTCCACCAATAAACCAGGAAAGTGGAAATAAGAGATCTGAGTACACATAAATTACATACTCAACGAGGATAAAGCCCTCACAGAATCACAGAATTGAAGTCAGGCCATCGAGTCTGCCCTATACACAAAAGGAATTCCCACTATGACATGAGCCAACAAGCGGTAGCTTCTACCCTCAGCTCTCTAGGGAGTCCAGCTCCCTTTCAGACACCTCTAATGGTCAGAAAGTTTTTCTTACATGGAACATTCATTGGCCTCTTTTCTACTACTTCTTTGCTCCAGGTTCTGCCCTCTGGGTGGGGCCAAATGGAACAATTCCCTCCTTTACATGGCAGCCCTGTCATGTTAGACCGCTATCATCTTCCCCATATCTCTCCTCTTCTCCAGTCAAAACACAGCAAATCCCTTCCGCTGAGCTTCCTGAGACATGGATTCAAGCTCCACCATCTTGGCAGCCTCCTCTGGCTACTCCCCAGCTGATCAATGTCTTTCCATAACTGAACACAATCCTCCAGGTGAGGTCTGACAAGAGAGAAGTGTAGTCAGGACTATCACCTCCCCATTCTTGGAAGCTAGGACCCAATTCACGCAGCTTAAGGTGACGTGAGCATTCTTGGCTGCAATATCAAACCACTTGTAGTCAACTGCCTGAACCAGAACTCTGGAGATTTGGGTTCTAGTCCTCGTTCTGCATTTGAGCGAGTCATTTTCTCTTTGGGCTTCAGTCCCTTAACTGAAAAATAAGAGGGTTAATGCAGATTGCTCCTACGGTCCCTCCTGCTCTAGCCCTGCTGGTGTTATGGTTCTGATGGAGGTTGCATGCCCAAAGCTGATGTTACCCTGCTTTAGGAGGTAAGCCAGGTGTTCAGACAGAGGCTCTATGATTCCTTCTCAAGGCCATTATAGAGGGAATTCTTGCATCAGGCAAAATGTTGGGCTTGATGATCTAGGAAGGTTTTTTTTTTCTAATTCTAGGAATCTTTTTGGGAGATGCAGGAAGCGGGAATCAGTCTTACAGCTGATGATTGAATGCCCTGCACATCAGTGTCTCCTCTGCAAGTAGGACGCTGCCTGCGGTGCCAAAAACTTGAAGGACACGTCCATCCACACGTGTCAAAGGCAGGACCCGCGCCTTGAGGCTGGCTTCTTATCTGCTACACAGCAGCTGCTTCCCTTAGGATTCTGATTCAATGATAGTGTATATGAGGCTCAAATACTTCAAAAACCCTTGATTTTTATCAGTGTGAATAATCCCCCCTCTTAACACAGATAGAAACATTTTATGATTTACTATGTTACCTTTGAGAGCTCCTGCAGTCAGAAAAGAAATCATCTCTGAGGCCAAGTTGGCAACCTCCCAACTCATGGGCAAGGCCCCCCAGAAAAGAGCTACCCTAGGAGCCAGCAGGATCTGGGGTCCCTGGTCTTATAACCGCCATCCAACACTGCTCAGCTGAATGCCGTCAAACAGGTCTTGAGGTCTCTACCAGATTCTATTCTTTCGGATAACTGCTCAGTCTGACACTTATCTGCCGGTCACAAAATCCCCAACCAATGCTACTCTGTTCCTGAGACAGCTAGCCAGTATGATGGATAGAGCATTGAGCCCAGAGTCAAGACCCTGGATTCAAATCTGGCCTCAGACACTAGCCTTTGTCTGCCTCAGCATCCTCATCTGTAAAATGAGAGTAATGATAGCACCTTCCTCCCAGGGTTGTAAAGCTCTCAGCACAGTGCCTGGAAGACAGATGGTGTTTAATAAATACTTGTTCTCTTCCCCCTCCTCTCTGTTGCCTCCAATGTGTCTCTTCATCAAGGGAAAGGCAAGCCATTTATTTTAAAGGCCATAGGCTTTTTCTTACTAGGACTCTTGAGAAAGGCAGAAGCCCTAATCTTCAGGGGACAAAGTAGCGTGGATGCATTGTTGCTCCCCTTATTTATAGAGTTTGGAGATTTGACCATGAGATCTCACTTGTCTCCAGTTGGAGATTGTCAGGCCAGCTGCCAAACTATTTAGAATAATGAAGAGAGAGAGGAGACACCCCTAGCTAAGTATTAAGTCACCAGTACCCTCATTTTCAGGTCTACCGTCTCTTTGAAACTTCCTGGTCAATGGGCGTGGGCAACCTCACTTTCTGCTCCTCTTGAGGATTCTGTACCGCTCCCAATGGGAACAACTCTAAAGACTTGCCTATATACACTCATCAGATACTCTGGGCCAGAATTGAGACCAGCCCAGTGATTCAGATTCAGGTCAGGATGCAATCAGAAACTCATAAAGTGCAGTAAAAACTTTGCTGGTGATAAAGGGTAAAAACACAATGATTGATATCCAGAATGACCGGTACGTCTCCTTAAACTAGCCCAGCCTGTATAAAATGAGCCCCAATGCTACCACATCCTACTTCTCAGTGGTAAATCCCCCGCAAATTTCCTAGGGACCTTCCACCACTACAATAATATTAAAACGGTTCTAACTTGAACAGCACTGAAAGAGAAACTCTATAAATAATAGGGATAAGAAGTTGACCTATGATTTCACCAATATAAGGAACTTCCTTATATTGGGGGGAATGGCAAACCACTCCAGTATCTTTGCCAAGAAAACCCCAAATGGGGTCACACTGAGTCAGACATGAGGAAAACTGAACAACAAATATACCAGTAGCCAGGTTAACTTCCCAGGCCCATGTGGTAGCCCAGCAAGAAAGGTCCACAGGAAAAAACCAGATTATATTTAAGTGAAGTTAGGGTGTTTTGAGACTCAAATAAGATATTGGATGGAAAATTTTACAAACCTTAAGAAGCTACATACATGCCCACTATCACCATCACTATTATTAGCCTCCAGCCAGCCACCCGGCCTCCAGTTGGGTGACTTAATTCCCAAGTACTCCTGCTGAGCTGAAGCAATTATTAACGAACAACACAGGGGTGCTGATCAATGACTAACAGGCTCTCCGAAAAAAAAAATCTCTGCACATACAGTGCCCAAGTCTAGACAACCAACAAAACAATAAAACAAGCCTCGAGTTTCAGCAGCTGCTGATTTCAGAGGTGTAAACACACGCTGGAAATGTTAATCAGCTCTTTGAAAGCCAGTTAGAGCTGACTGCAGCATGGCCTGAGATGGGGTTCTAACCCAAAGGGCCAAAGTAGGCTGGTTGTAGGGAGTTAGGGCTCAGAAATCCAGTCCACCAAACTCATCTCTGAACACTGTTATCTCCTGCACTGCCTTCTCAGATCAAGGGAATTCATCTTTCTGGAGCCAATTATGGAGAAGTCCCTACTCTATCCACCTTCAGGGGATAAAAAGTGCATCTTTCAGGGAGGTGGGTGGTACTACCATTTCCACTTCAGAGTTGAGGAAACCGAAGCAAAGGTTAAGTGACTTGCCCAGGATCAACAGCTAGCGTCTAAGGCTAGATGTGAACTCAGATCTTCCTGTGACCAGCCCTCTGTGCGCTGTGGCACCCCCCCACCCCACGAGCATTCCAGGGATGGGGAACAGCCTATGCAAAGGCCTGGAGGTAGGAGACAAAACGTGTGGGGGCCAGCAAGAAGATCAGAGTAGAATAAAAACCGTGTAATAAAGTAAAGCGTGCCACTGGCCTGGAAATGGGATAGTCGACGCTAACTCCAGTCAGAGAATTTTAAATCAATAGACTTATCCTTCAGTTTCACAATAAGCTTTTTAAAATTGGGGGTGGGGAGAGGAAGGAATGGATCCTTGTTTAGTAATGAGTTTCATAAATGAGACAAATACAATTTGTTCTGCTTCGTTAACTTTTCCTTTATTCTGAATGGTAATCTTGTCAGATCACCTCTAACTACTTTGGAAAAACACCCATCAGATGCTGACTTAAGTAGAAAAGAAACAAAGCCAGTCTTCAATATACAGTTTCTATGATACAGAATACACAATAAATTATATCTACATGCAATGCTACAGTTACACAATGTAAAAAAATACAGTACTTTTTATGTACATTTTTTGAGGATTTACATTTTTATGTACATTTTGTAAACTTTTAAAAATACATTTCTTTGTACCAAGCCCCAAGCGTACAAAGTCTTATCAGTTCGCACATCACCATTCTTACATCTGCACCACAGCACAGACATTTACTTACACACACTACCACAGACATCTTTTTACTTCATATTTCAGCCCTGGCCATCCCTCCCCGCCCCCCCCCCGCCCCCCGGTCTAACACCGTTATTCTTGAAATGTGAATTACATTCTATCGACTTCCTGTACTCTCCAAGCGTACAATGTAATCATTCCAACGTGTGATTTTTGCAATGCAACCAAACCAGGTGTGTTGTCACATCTAAATTTATCAATTCCACATGTACCCAGTTCTACATAACCTTATCCAGCACTAAGAGCTTTTATACATATGCATGCAAAAACTAGTTTTAATTATGGATTTTTTAAACACTAACATATACTAAAGGGCTAAAACACCTAGACTTAAAAAGAATGCAAATACTTGCCAAGCTTAGCTTGTCAATTATTTCTGTAGCTAGTAGGTCAACTTCAACTAGGACACTAACTATTAAAATGCACAAGAGCAAGGCTACTACATCTTTAAGTTTTGCTGGGTCTGTATTGGATATTACATTCAATTTTTAAAAAGCATATCCTGACATGTTTGAATGTGTCCTCCGTCACGAAGACACATTTGTGAAACTGTTAAAAGGGCTATCCACTGTCCCTGCCAAGAGAGCATAGGCACACTCCCAAATATGTTTAAATGACAATACCTGAAGCTTTCTGTAAAGTTGTAAAAGACCCATCTATATTTAGACTGCATTTATCTAAAAATAACCAAACCCCTCTGAAAAGTAGTAATTCAAGGTTTTATTGTCCCTCCCCTAACCACCCACCCCCCTCCCCCCAGCTAAAAAAAGCATGACTATTCAGAGGAAAAAAAAAAGTGCCACGCTAAGTATTTTCACTACTTGTCTAAGAAGCATAAACCCATTTAATGGCTTAGAATTAAATATGAAAATAGGCCAGATCTGATCTGCGTAACAAATAGAAAGCAGGTGGATCCAGTCCATGCAACTCCTTCCTGAAAGATAAAGGGGGAGGGGAAGACCATCCCCCATTTATTGCTTAGAAACCTGTAGGTGGACTCCCTCCCAACTTATACTTCATACAACAAGATTTCTAAGATTGAAAGCACAGGGCCTGTGCCACCTTGAAATCAAAAAAGAAGGCGCATTCTCCATCGCTGGGAGGAGAGCTGCTCAGACTTTCTTCTCCACAACTCATATCTTCACAAGAGTCCTCACTGAAAAGGGTGGAAAAAAAAAAAGATCTTATTTACCATACACTTGAAAAGTTTTACATAATCACTTTCAATGTAATCTTGAAATCACAAGGTTAAAGAATGAGGCACCTTTCTTTTTTTAAACCTCCAAAGACATCCCAAAGTAAACTCTTCTGGAGTCCAATGAGAACCTGTCCGTGACTCTTTACTTTCAAAAGGAAGCGTGTGTGTGCCAGACTCACTCAGCGACATGCAAACTGCTGCTCCTGAGACAGTCACTACCAGACACTCTACCAAAATCCACAACATATTACAGATGGTGTGTCTCCTCTGACCCTCATAACCACCCTGAGAGGCTGTTCTGAGCTTCATTTTACTGATGAAAAACTGAGGCCAGAGAGGTTAAGTTGTTTGCATGGGATCCCAGAGCCAGGAAGTATCCGAGGCAGGCTTTAAGACTTGAGACTTACAGGTTTTTAAAGCCAGCGCCCTATTCACAACTCCAATCAAATAGTATATTATACTGTTGGCATCTTGATTATTAATCACAATCAAGGTAAAAAGGCAGTTTTCTGCTATAATGTAACTGTATCTTTTAAAATACTCCTAAGATATGAGATACGTCATCCTTGAAACAAAATTTTCAGTCTCATAAAACGTTTACAACTGGAAGGGACCTCCGAGATCACCGTAGATCAACACCCTCATTTTACACACAAACAGCAACCAATGACTCAAATATGCAAAATAAGTCACGGTCTGCAAAGGAAAACAAACTGGATTTATGACATCCCCCAAAGACTACTTTGGAGCTACAGTGTGCCCTGTTAGGTACTTAACACTAAATCACTTTAAAAAATCTTCATGGATATTTCAAATTGTTTATGTTTGCTATAAAATATTGAGGATAAAATCTCTAAAGTATCACTATGAAACCATTAAAGAAACATGGCCATTCTTTTTTCGGTTTTGCTGATTAAGAGAAACCCTACACAGTCTGGAGGTCTTAGCCACGCAGAGTCCCAAGGTTCTGAAGCATATGTGAATTTTTATGTCTTTCTATCCTGATGAGGGTCTTCACAGCTGTTTTAGTAATTAACCAGAATTCTTCATTTTAAAAAGCATAAACCCAAGTTATCGCATAGTTAAGCTAAAGCTAACCAGCATTTCCAAAACAGAATAAATTCTACTATCTATGTTTAACAGACAATCATCTGGTCTGGTATTTCTCCAAAAACACAACAATGTGATTCCATCAAAAGTTCTGGGGGGAGGGGCAGCTAGTGGTGAAGTGGATAGAGCTCTGGCCTTGTCAAGAAGACCTGAGTTCAAATTCAGCACTTGCTAGTTGTGTGACCCAGTGCAAGTCACTTAACCCCAAGTGCCTCACCAAAATGCAAAAACTAAAAAAAAAGTTCCAGGGGAAATATTAAGCTAGAGAAACCATGAGAAGAACAGGAAGTCATACAAGTGTGCATCTTCCACAAATGCCTGCTTTTCCCTCTAAATCTGCCTCAAAAAATTTTGTTTTAAATAAAATGCTTACAAGGGTGTGTGATGAAGGAACATGTTGGATAGAGAGAAGTAATAGAATTTTAATTTTCTTTCCTGTCAGCACTTTCAGGAAAAAAACATCTGCATGCCTGGATTACACACAGCCGTTCACCCTTCAGGGAGTCACCTCACCGTTGAGCTGTTTCCTCATCTGTCAAATGAAGCAATCGGCCTCGACGATGTCGAAGGCCTTTCACAGCTCCCATGTTCTGCTGTTGTCATGTTTAAAAGGCACCTTTCTTCCCAAGGCAGCTGGCTCACCTCTGAGTCTCCTCGAAGCAGCCCCCCTCGGGAATGGTGGGCAGCTCAGGAACACTGTAATAGCTGTTGTGAAGATTCTGGGCTGTGCGCCGGGAGACGATCCACACAAGCTTCTTGTGGTCCGGCTTGCAGCACTCTGGAGACGAATATTCTGCGAGGCATTTTGAAACTAGCTCCCTCCAGTAAGAGAAATCAGCATCATTAATCTGGAAACGCAAAAAATTTCAAAGACTGAGAAAGGACTACATATGGTCTTAAACAGTCCGAATCGGGCTCTGGCTATCAAAATGCCCAGGTGAGCGCTGGAGTGCCAAGACACCGCTCCCGAGAATGCTTCAACAGACGCTGCACGCCTGTCTGCGTGTTGTCTCTCTCTTTCCACCAGACTGTGAGCTCCCTGAGGGCAGGGACTGGTTTTTGCCTCAGTTTGCATCCCCAGCACTTAGCACTGCCTGGTACTTCATAAACATTGATCCAATTGATTTCTAGCTTCAACTATGTTAGGGAGCTTAAAATTTGGTATCATGTTTCTTAAATTCCTTTCAGGACTTGGGAGATTTCTCAGAAGCGAGTTAGAGTTACTGCCCCAAACCATAGGGAATACCATTTGCTTTTAGGGAAGAATGTTAATCCTTTGCAAGTTCCCTTGATAACATGAAGACGTTCAGTTATCACACAAAGAAGAGCTAGAAAAGAATTATAATAGCTAGTATTATATAGGGCTGGTAAGGTTTGCAGCAGCCAACATTCACACAGTGCGGGGCACCATGCTGAGGCCTCACAATCACCCCAGGAGATAGGGGCAATTATTATCCCCATTTTACAGATGAAGAAACTGAGGCAGATAGGTTAAGTGACATGTCTAGGGTCACACAGATGGAAATGTTTGACACAGGATTTGAACTTAGGGTGCCGGGCTTGGAGTCAAGAAGGCACACCTCAGACACTAATGACTACTAACTATGACCCTGAGCAAGTCACTTAACCTTCGCCTCACTTTGCTCCTCTGTAAAATGGGGATAATCACAGCACATCCACCTGCTAGGATTGTCATGAAGATCAATGAGGTCATAATCATACAGCACTCAGCACCGTTCCTGCAGGCATCAGTGCTACGTGACTGTCAGCTCCACATCACTGTTATGATTTCCAATTCCAGGCCTGCTGCCCCCTCCATTCCCATGTACGCTACTGTACACATTTTGCACAGGGCCCACAATAATCCGAAAAGCAATTCGGCCAACAACGTCCCTAAAAGACAACCCACGATTGCTGACTGCTCTTCCCCCCAGACCTCAGTCAGAATCTCCTCTACAACATTCAATTCATCTAGCCTCTTCCTCCAGGAAAGAAAGCCTGCTCCTTTCTCCTGAGGCAGACCATCTGTTTCGGGACATCTAACTTCTAAAATGTTTTCTCTTACGTGGAGCACAAACACAAAGCCTCGGCAGCTTCTGCCCACCGTTCCTCACTCCGCTTCTGCGCCAAGCACCACGGGCTTAATCCCTTCAAAATATGTGAATGACCAAATCCGCCTGGGTGACGCCCCCAACACGGGCCATCCTTGTGCACACAGCAAACAGCCCCTGACCTCCAGAAGCCTCTGTTCTAATAGGCAGGCAAACACATCCGTGAATATATGCAGCACTAATACACACGTCTGTGTGGATGAAGATAACACCTGCCCCCTCCCAAGTTTCTCCTCCATCTATCCCTAGTTTGTTCACCTGACGCTCATACCGTGCAGTCTCCAGGCCCCGAGCAAACCCTCTACTCCACTCCAGCCTCTCCACACCCCTCCCAACATGTGGGGCTACACAGAGGTGGGCTGGCCAGGTGGGGCAGAGAACTATGGCCTCCCCTGGTCCAGACACCATGTCACAAGAGATTCAAGAATATCCTAGTAAACCTAGGAGCTCTCCTTGCAAGCTCTCATCCCTATGTTTTAGTTTCCTATGTGTGACTCTTAAAAGAAAAACTCCCTAAACTATACAACAATTTACCTTGGAATGCTTTTGAACAAGAAGAAGAATTTCCAATAATTCAATAGATTTCAAAGTTTCCACTTCTAGATTGAGAAGGCACAAAGCTAATACAGACGGCTGTGGGGGAAAAAAAAAGCAGAATGGTGTGTGTGAATTTCCTCAGTATATCTGTCAAAGGCTATAATTACATGTTACTAAAAAATAAAAATAAAAAAAATACTTACTTTTGCTTTTGAAAAAGTTAGTCGGCAGTTGCAAGCTTTTAGCTGAGCCTCCAATTTATCAAGACTCAATACTTCTTTCCTATGAGACATATCAAAGGAAAGAAGTTTTACACTGATCTGCCCAGATTAACAACTTAAATGTTCTCAAGACATAATTTTAAAATTCAGAACTACTTAAGGGGAAACAACAGCATGGGACATAGAGAAGGAAGCGGTTTTATGAAGTGCCACGCTGGTGGATGACGGCACAGCTATGAGGTCGGAGAGGATGGACACTGACTTGCGCTCACCTTTCTGAAGTGTGACGAAGTACAATAGTGTGGTATAAGTGCAAAAAGTGTAAGGCAGTAGTAGCTTCTAGTTCATAGTGCAACTTTTCAGAAATGATTTTTTCCATCCGTTTTATGTCAGAAGCAGTACACTTGCACTGACTAATTCGGATGACATCATGGGTTGGTGGAATATTGCATTCCTCTTCAATTATTCTAGCAGCCAGAAGAAAACAACAGACTCCAATGCAAGACAAATGCTTGGGCTTCACCTGAAGAACAAAGAAGTTGTTAGAAGCTCACAAAGGTAAAAGAACTTTTAAAAAGGAGTAACAGGACATCACATTTTAGAAGCTTACAAAGCAATTTACCCACGTGACTATATTTGAGGATCACCATTTAAGGAGGCAGGTGGATGGTCCAGAGGATGAACCTGTGAGTCAAAGGTCAAGTGCTGCTTCTTAAAGCCTCTGAAAGCTGGGGAGAGCCAGGACGCAAACCTTCCTGATCCCAAGGCCAGCACACACAAGAGAGCACCTCGTGACCCCATCACTTCAGAGAGGTGGGCTTCAGCTCGAAGCACAGAAACACTCTTCATCAAAGAGACCCCAAACACTTTCTGGGAAAACCGAGCCCCTTCTCATTCAAGATCTTCAAGGAAAGCTCAGAAGACTACTTGTCAACTCCAATTCTGTACTTATAATAATATTTATACACTGCCACCCCCTCAAAAAACTCTTATACCAGGGCAGCCAGGTGGCTCAGTGGATAGAGCACCAGCCCTGAAGTCAGGAGGACCTGAGTTCAAATCGACTCAGACCAAACACTGGACACTTACTAGCTGTATGACCCTGGGCAAGTCACTTAACCCCAATTGTCTAAAACAAAACAAAACAAAAACCTCTTATGCCAATAGGTATCAAAACAAAGGAAACCCATAAAAGGGTCCAGATCCAAAAGAAAGAAGCTTGTTGCAATGTTTCTATTGCTCATACTTTTTTTTTAAAAAAGAATACTTCTAAATCCCTCCCAGACAACGGACATCTTTAGCAACAGTAAGAAATTTTTACAAAGCAGCTGTCCCACTTTTTAAAAGTTTTCTGAACAATGGTCAGTAATGATCAAATTGAAAAAATCTGCTTGGATAACATATTTGTGACACTAAGAATTTACTGTTCTTCCAGACATAAGTTTCTTCAGTAGTGCTCAGAATGATTGATATCAATGACAAACAATGTCCCAATACAGCACGTATTTCGACACTGAAACCACAATTGCTGTAGAGCTCACAGTACTAGTTCCTCATTTTTATCTGCTTAGCTAGCTGTCTTCAGAGGTGCGTATGCTGGGGATGGGAAGGGCAGCCATAACCCCAGGCTGTGTCCATACCCCAAAAGAAATACAACTGAAGAAGGAGGAGAGAACCAAACACTTGTAAAAAATGAAAAGGCTTGGGAGACCTTTTCTTCTCAGCCCTTGGCAGCCATGGAAATATTGCTCATTATGTTTTTAAACAAATTGAAGACAACTTGCAGGCTCCTCACTTTCTATGTGAAGTCAGAGCCATCCAAAGTTCTTTAATAGGTGGCCAAAGTCCTAGTTTCAGTTTTCCAGTCACTCCAACGGATCTGTGATTCCATCATTCCTGTCTGCTCGGCCTGTATAACTCTTGGCCATATTCTCCCAAAAGTCTGCCAGAGTTTACCCAGCATCCCACGCTGGAGGCCTCCTCCACGTCCCCTGACATCTCAAGGCCAGAGGAGTACTCTGGCTGTCCCCCTGGAGGGCCCTGCTTTTTCCAAGGGACCAGCCCATCTTCTGTCTTGTTACACAATTCCCTAATAAGAGCCTTTACTCTTGTTCTTCTCTGGAGTCCCTCCCTGGTTATGTGTTAGAGTCCAGTCAAACCCACCAGGAGCCTCTCTGCTGCTCTATCTGGGCTAATTCAGCATCAGTGGTGCACCATGTCACCGCCATATTGCAGCACCAACAGCATGTTAGTAATGACAACATGGGCCTCTGATTTCATAGGAAGCCTGAGGTCAGTAAAAGGGCTTTGCAATTTCCAGAAAGCAATCCAGCCGGCTTGCTCTCTTCCTTTTCAACTTAGAGGCCCCATTTGTCACCCATTTATTCTGGTTGCCCCAGATACCCATGGAGTCGGAGGATAAGCACTCTCTTCTAAAATAAATATCTCCTATCTAAATGCACGTTGAAATCTAGGAAATAAAAACTCTTCATCCAGTTGGTCTTTCTTGTGTGGATGGACAAGCCAAAGGCCTTTAAGTAATTAATTATAGGTCTCTGGCTTGATGTAATCAGTATGATGTCATCCAAACAGGAATACCCAGAGATCCCCACCACTATGGGCATATCCTAACATGACCACGACTTTTTGCTCAATCTCCTCCATCACAGTGGTGAAGATCTCTGACAAGTATATATCTTGTTGTTTCATGCCACTTCCTGGGGGTTTCATCAGCAATTCACTGACAGGGTTATTTTTGTCATAGATCTTCTATGGAATCCTCAATGACCTTAACACATAGCTGGGAGGCATGCTGTAAAAGAGCCTGTAGGGAAGTATTTTCCTCTACTGAATTTTTTTAGTCAATGAAATATAAGCACAATAGGATCTTATAGTTTTATATTTACATTCTTCAATGGTAAAAATGTGGTCCATTATTGATAATTGCTCACACACTTGTTCCCTACTAATGAATGCCCTTGATCAAAAATGCCCCCAATTCCTAAGAAGATTACTCAAAGACGTTGTATAGACGGGACATTAGGCAAACAGACTGGTAGTTACAGATGTTCAATTGGTTATCTTTTTTACAGTATTAATAAGGCCTGAATTCCCGCCCCCTACACACAGGCCTTGGTTTATTTCCCCAAGATAATTTATCACTCCTTAAATGCTTTCAAAAGTACATTGCCTTGAGCACCACTCACCTCTCTCTTCCCCTCTCAATGCTATTTTATAAGACCACAGATTTAAAGCTGGAAGGGACCTTATACACCTTCTAATCCAGCACCCTTATTTTACCAATAGGGAAAAAACACAACCACACTGAGGCCCAGAGGGGTTAAGTATATGACTTGCCAAAGGCATACAGTAAGTGGCAGTCAGGATTTGAACACGGCGCTCTACAAATCTAGCACTCTTTCCCCTGACTGTTCTGAAAGTCACCTCAGGGACTTTGAGGTAGGGTACAAGTGTGGCTGTGCCACTTAACCTTGACCTGAAAAAGTCTGTCGAGACGATTTTTACAAATATTTTCCATTTGTCCTCTGTTTGTGGTCCTATCATTTCATCCCTGAATGCCTTTGAGATAACTTTGCTTAGCCAGGTAGCTTCACTAGCCATACTGCACTCCTGACCGACCGCCTGTCACCCTTCACAGTGTCAGTGTGTTTTCAGCAGCCCTCATTGCAACATCAATCAATCAGTAAATATTTATTAGTGCCTTCTTTCTTCTCCTTAGAGCAACACTGATATAATTCAGCTCCTCCAGCAATATGCCCCGCCTGTTCGTCACTGGGTAGGTACCTCACACTGGTGGTCGAAGAACTGTTCAATTCTTAGCACCTCTGCCCCATCACTCCGGAAGCAGGATGTGGCCTACTTTTTTGGAAACTCAAACGCCATTCGAGTTTTGTCCAACTTGAAGTACAACGTTATTGTCCTACACAGAACAGACTCCAGGGTAAATTTAGGAATTACTTCAGTCACCACCTTAGTTCAAACCCGTCACCTCCTGCCTAGATTACTTCAACAGCTTCCTAATTGGCCTCTCTGTCTCCGGTCTCTTCCCACTTCAGGCCAGCCTACACAGCACCAAGCAACTTTCTGAAAGCAAAGACCTGACCATATCACTCCCCAACTCAAACCATAGTAGCTTCCTATGGCCTCCAAGACAAAATATTAACTCTAGTTTAGCCTTCTGCGGCCTGGTCCCAATTTACCTTTCCAGCCTCATTGACATTATTCTCGTACCGCTCTGTAATCCAGTCAAACTGACCTTCTCTATATCCTCACACACAACACTTAAGTCCATTTCTATGTCTTGGCACTGCCACCCCTAAGCCCCCCATGCCTGGCACGCCCATCTTCCTCATCCATATCACACAGAATCCTTCTCTCTTGGTAAGTCATAGATTGAGCAGAACTGCTCTTCTCAACTACACCCTTGTATAAAACTAGCCTATTTACCTATATATGTACCTGTCTCTCTGATTAGAATGAAAGGTCTTTGAGGGTCAGAAATGTTTTGTTAATTGTATTTTCATCCCTAGAACCACCAGGTACAGGGTAGGCACTTTAAAAATGCCTGATTGACTTGGCTGTAAATTTTTTATATAAGAAGACCTTACTTGGATATTTTTATGTATATGGGGAAGGGAGGGGGAGGTTCACGAAACCAACCAACACTGAATTTCTATGGAATTATCAAATACCTCTTGAACATTTCATTTTGGGTTTAACGATTATAAGCCCTAAGTACTACAAAAAAAAAAACCACAATCTAAGTTTAGGCGTTAAATTTATGAACTTTTAAAAATTCTGCCCACATACATTTTTGTGATTTGACATTTTTACAGTTTGCTCATTTCATTGCTGCTATAATCAGAAGAAGAAGGAAAGAGAGCACTACACCAGCCTTGCAAACAAATGAAAAGAATCTTCACTAGCTCCAAACACTTCATTTATTTATTTTTGGGTGAAGCAATTGGGTTTAAGTGGCTTGCCCAAGGTCACACAGCTAGTAAGTATCAAGTATCCGAGGCTGGATTTGAACTGAGGTCCTCCTGATTCCAAGGCTGGTGGCTCTATCTACTGTGCCACCTAGCTGCCCCGAGCTCCAAACATTTAAAAAAAATAACCTATGTAGTCTTTCCTTCTTTCTTTCTCATCTCCTACTAGAGTTATACTGGCTAGAAAATCCATAAAATATGTTTGTTGTTTTTACTCCTAACCTCACCCAAGTTGTTAAATTACCCTGAACAAATGACTATCTGTGACACTGCCAAACTTAAAACAGCTCACTGTTTGAATCCGTTTGTGCTGGTCTTAAACACTACAAAATCCTATTAAACACAAACACACAGATACGCTTCTGCTCAAGTAGTTGGTACCTTCATAAGAGCCAAGAACCGATCCAAAATGTTGACAGCCAGGACGAACGTCTCAGTTCGTGATCCAAAAAAGTTGGCTAAACTCCTGAGATCTTCCACCTTCACATTTCTCAATCTCGGACACAAAGTGTTGTCATTCTGCGACAAAAAATGAAAGCCAATTAAAAAACCTTTCTTACCCCCCCCCCCAGTTAACAGAAAGTTAAAGCTCAAGTGTTTAAAAACAGAAAGAGGACGAGCTTGTCTTCCGTTGAAAAGAACTCGGGAAAACACTTCTTTAAGCAAGATAACAAAACCTCCAGTTATCTTAAAAGGGAACGTAGATAAATCAAAACCACATTTCTCCAATCCCCTGACATGTACAGATTAATAAAAAAAAAATTCGAGAAATTACATGTTACCGGCCAGTGGCACAAAGCTTTTTTTTTTTAACAAAGCATTACATCAAATTAGTAAGTTAATACACAGAATACTGCAGGATTGGGGGATCTCCAACTCTAAGGGAAGGCCTTGGAGACCGAAGGCCCCCCCCTTATTTTATGCACTCCCGTCCCTTGAGCCCCCCACTTGGCCAGAAGCCTTCCCTTTATCTTGCTCTACCCCGTCCCTACGTGACTTGGACACGACGGCTTGCAAGCACAGGGCGGGTCTCTGCACCTGCACCACTTTGCACACAGTAGGCACTTTATACACGCCTGTCGCCAGTCCAGCAGGAGTAACCGGCCCAGGAACGCCATTCCCCCGACCCGGCCAAGCTTCTCTTTCTAATGCACAGGTTTCTATGGTAATGAGCAGCTCGCGCCCAGCCCGGGGCATCTCGCCGTCCAATTCCCAGGAGGCGGCCGGGAAGGGGCGTCCGAGGACCCGGACGGAGGTGGGACGGCCTCCCCTCCCCCGCTCACCTCCGAGGCCGCCTCGATCAGGCTCAGCCCCTTCTCCCGGGGCTGAAATCTCTGCTCCCGCTCCAGGTAGAGGTTCAGCAGCCGGAAGAGCTGGACCCCCTCCCGGCCGGCCAGCTCCTCGGCTCCCAGGTCCTTCATCTGCGACCCAAAGAGAAGGATTAGTGAGGCGGGGGCGAGTGGGCGGAGGGCCCTGCTGCACGCAGGCCTACTGTGTGCCAGAGACCCGGGGGGGGGGGACAAAGGAAAGCCAAAGGCAGGGCCGGCCCCGGGAACAAAGAAAGCCCCGGCAGCTGCCCACTCACCGCGCCGGGGATCCCGCTCCCGTCCCCGTGGCGCCCCGGCCAGGAGAGCCCGGGGAAGGGGACGGGCCTCCGCGCCCAGCCGCTCCGCCTGCGGGAACCCCGCGGGTCAGCGACCCCCCGGGGCCCTCATCCACCCGCGGCCCCGCGCTCCCGCCGCCGCCGCCGGCTTCTCCGCGCCGGCCTCACAGCGCCCGCCTCATCGCGGCAGTCCGGCCTGCCCCGTCTCGACGCCCCCCCGCCGGCCCGCCGCCCTTTTCGGCCTCCGCCGCCGCCGCGGAAGGAAGATCGAGCTCGCCCCTTGTTTTTGTTTGGAGCTTCCAACGCCCCCGAGGGGGAGGGGCACGTGACCCGCGTAGGGATCCGGGCGAGCCGAAAAGAAGAAAAGAGTCCCTCTCTAAAATCGCTCCCCCTCCCTGGAGAACCGGATCCACAGAGCCCGCCCCCTGGAGAGAATTCTTCTTAGAAGGGCCAGGCTCCGTCTCGGACCGTCGGGGCACTGGAACCTGTCACGATTGGGGCCCTGAGGTCCGCCCGGGGCGGGGAGGGGAGATGGGGTTTGCGGAAGGAGATGAGCCTCCTGACGAATCACGACCTTTAAAGCGCCCAGATTTGTTTTGTTTTCACTGTTTTTGAAAAGTCCGCCCAAAGTGGCCGGCTCTCCGATTGGTTAAAGCTCGGCAAACGGCTCGCTGATTGCTCGGTGCAACCCTGATTCTGGATTGGTGGGGACGAGACGCGTTTGAGTTCTCGGATTGGCTCTCTCCGTACCCAAGGTCTCCATCTGCCTTCAGGCCTTAGCAACTCTATTGTTTTGAGTGCGCATGCTCAGATGCATACATTTACATCGCCCCATTACCTAGTTTCCCCCACCCCCACCTGTCCTGGGAGAATTCCGTCCTGGTTTCCTTCTCCTCGAGAGCCCGGCTAAGCAGATTGCAAAACCTGGTGGCCCGTAGGTATTTCCCAGATTGTATCTGCACGTAGAGCACCGGGATTCGAGCTAGATTTTAAAGTTCTCAGGGCAGGGACCCCTCTTACCTGTTTTGCTGGATGCAGGGCTATGGAAGCACCTAGAACTGTTGCTACGATGCTAGGGCCTCCCCTGGATGACGCCTAGAAGCCTGTGGCCATGGGTCACCCTGGAATTACCGCGTATTCCTTAGTATAATTAGGGTTACTTTGACTAGGCAACACCTCTCTCCCACAACACAAAGGAGATGGCCGAGGGGCCTAGGGCAAAAAAAGACTTTCGCACGGGTTGCATTAAGAGCTGTGTGGCTGGAGATACCGCAGATTGTATGACCGCCTCCCCACAAAAAAAAAAATCCCAAAAAACATTTTCTTGCGTTCTGATCCATGCACACGTACGTATACATATACACATATTTTGCTAAATATGTGAATGTGTGTATTTATGCATATATGCATATATTCTGGTGGACTTTTATATTTTGCTAAATATGGCAGTGTGTGCATATATGCATACATATATTCTGGGGGATTTTTATATTTTGCTAAATAAGTGAGTGTGTGCATATGTGCGTACATATATTCTGGTGGACTTTTATATTTTGCTAAATATGTGAGTGTACACACACACACACACATATAGATATCTATTTTGGAGGACTTATATTTTTCTAAATATATGAGTGTGTGTATATATGCATACATATATACATATATTCTGGTGGACTTTTATATTTTGTTAAATATGTATACATCTATATACACGCACACATATATAAATACAAATTCTGGTGGACTTTTATATTTTGTTAAATATGTGTCTGTCTACACACACACACATATATATATATAGATATATATTTTGGTAGACTTTTATATTTTGCTAGATACATGAATGCGTTGTGCATATATATACACACACACATACACAAACATATATATGCCTCAGGCAGCAAGCAGCTTTTCCTACTCCCTCGAGCAGCTAAAGAATTTTAGAAATAGGTCTCTGTGCACCCTTCAGCTCTTGAGCAGACACACAGGCTGGCGGAGTGAACAAAGCCTCCTGGGGGGAGGGGAGAGCCAAGCTAATAGCTAATGCTGGCTGTCCTTGTCTTCCATCATCTCCCTGCTACTTTGAGCTGGGTTTTGATTGTACAAAAAGAAAGCACATTTCCCACGAGCAATTTAATTTATAGGCAACGTAATTGTATATAATTTTTGTTTCATCCTTTTGAATACTAAAACAATTATACTTTACATCATTTCTCGCTGAAACTCTGTTCTGACAAATACAATCTAGACATTGGGACAACCTGGAAAAAAAAAAGAAAGAAAGAACCGACCGGATTCCATCTGTATGGATGTCAACTCAGGGTTTACTTAAGGGGTTCTTAAGTTTTTTGGGTGTCCAGTCTGATGAAGCCTATGGAAATCTTCTCAGTGTGAGGTATGAAATTAAAATTATGCTAATTATATATTTTAAACCATCATTGAGGAATATACTAAACTTCAGTTAGAGATTAGTAAAAATAACAAATGATTTCAGGAGTCTGAAATCTATCCACTGATCTCTGGTTAAGAACCCCAGGTTTATGGAATAGAGACAATGAGAGTGGGTGGAACACTCCTGAAAACAAGGAAGCTGGATAAGGAAAATGTGGATCGCTGATAAGGAATGGACTATGGAGATGGGGAAAGCCTCTTCCTTGATGGGGAAAGATGTTTTGAGAGTGATCTAAACAAAGGAAAAGGGGGGGGGAAAACCAAGTAGAATATAGGAGAGTAATATTGAGAGGAAATGTAAAGGTTACAGTGTACCATAAATAAGAAAAAAGAGAAATAAAACATCTAAAAGGAAGAGACAGATATAGACACACACACACATGTTTGTCAAACCACCATTTCCTATCCCTTCACTTATACCACTCCCTCATTCTTTTTGAAGTTGAGTTTATCAGAACTTTCAGTGCTTTGAGCCTTTTTTCCTAAATCCATTTGCTACCCTGGCCATCCTAGACCTCACCAGCCGTTGCAAAGACATTCTCAGTATTAATAGCATCCCTAGAATTACTTGCCCCCTTGCCTTTCCACTGTATCTCCTGAAGAAAGACACGAAACGGTTCGTTGATTCCACTATAGATTCATAAAACGTAAATGAAATGGGTGCCTTCTCACAATCCCTTCATGCTTCTCTGATTCCCTATTTCAATCTCCCCCTTTTCCACTCTTCTCAAGATCCCAATCTTATACTTGTGCCTTCTCATTCTCCACCTTGCCTCTTCCATTTTAAGATTGAGGCTGGCCAAAGCGAGATGAATATCTTGTCTGTTCGGCAAAGGCAAAGTCTCCAAGTCTGAACTTATTACCAGTTTCCCCAAAATCTCCCCCAAAATTCCCTCCTGACTTTTGTATTTCTGTTAATTGCCGGTTACTCAGTTTCATAACCTTGAAGTCATTTTGGACACCTTCTGTCTCCGTTCTCCCTCTATCTTCCCCACTGAATCACTTGGTAAACCCTACTTTTTCTGCCTCAGAAAATGTCTCCCTTCCTTTTTTATTCTCATTGCCACTCCTCACCCCTTCTAGGTCTCTTTCTCTCTTTTTAAAAAAGTTATTTTGCTGCTTTTTGTAAGCCTTGAAATATTTCCTTATATACTCCAGCATTGAATTGGTTCATGTAACACAGAAAAACTGATTAGACAAAAACCAGCCCACACATTGACTCCCTCCGATGGCATATGCAACATCCCCCATAAGTGATCTCTCTCCCTTCGCAATGAGAAAAGGCAAGTCCATTTCGTGATTGGATCTCCAGGACCAGAATTGGTCATTACAATTCATCAAAGTTCAGCTGCCTCTGTTTACTATAGTTACTGTATATGTAGCAGAGGTTGAATTGACCAATACGGGCCATCCCAGGGAATATATGTCCATAGTTCCCGTGGAAACTTCCCACCAGAGACTTAATGACTCAACATTAGGGCTTCTTGGAGATAAAGAACTCCCTAGCTGCTTCTGGTCATGTGATGGCCCAGCACTGAAAGGACTTTGCCATTTGGTGGAGGTAGAGACGGGGCTTATGATTTCAGTAGCATTAGGAATGGCACCTCCCAGGTGCCCATACCTACTCTGCAACTTATACACATAGAGAGTTGCCAATGACTTGCCTAGGGTCTCACATCCAGCATGTGCCAAAATGGGACTTGAACCTAGTTTTTCTTGACTCCAAGTCAGTTCTCTACCCATTATGTGTCACTGACTCTCTGTTGCTTTGGTATGACAAAGAAAAACCTGAGTGATCAATGGTTCTTACTTGTGATGGCATCAAGCAGGAAGCTCTGTCCTATCTTAAAAAGAGAGACAATTTCCGGTTGGTCTTTGTTTCAACTTTCCAGGTGGCATCATGTAACTAGACTTCTAGTGAGGATTAGGAAAGGGCAGGCCTGTCTCTACCCAGTTTCATGGCAACCTTGCCCATGGCAGCTGGTGACAGGTATCTCCACTTGATGAGGTTTGTACCTGGGGCCCCCATGTCTTTTCCACTTCTGTGTTGTTTGTTTCTTTCCAATATTAGGTACTTATCTTGAGGTGGATATATCCAGGCTGGGAAAGACTTTGTAAATTTAAGAGATATGGAGATCCCAGGTCCAATGAGTGGTGCTAGCTGGTGCCAAAGGAATCTTCTGCACCAACAAAAGGAATGGCATTTTGTTCTGATGAGCTTTAGTTATCAATAACCTCCCAGCATATTGTAGCAGTGATTAGAAGTTAATTTACCAAATACTTTTTTAAGGTTGTTTTTATCAAATGTGTGTTTATAAACGTTCAGTGTTTAGCATTGCTTTTGTGTGTAGGAAATAAATACCTATCCCATACCTGATTCATATTGTACAATAAGTAGCTTTTTAATTCCCTCTCTTTGAGATAACCAGGAAGTGAGTTTAAATCTGAGCCTTAAATAATTTACCCCTGGAACACTAGGATGGGGATTTAATGAACTAAGGTGTGTGAGAAAAGAAGGCCTAGTCACACGTTCATTAGAGGCCAGATTTCCCCAAGACTGACCATGGTCCCGACCACACACATGGGTTCAGAGCAGAGTGACCCCTTCGTGGATAAAGGAGTGCGTACAGTATCCCACCCCAGCCACAGTTCCTCAAGGTTGGGTGTA